GAGTGTGGAGGGGGGTAGATGGTGAGTAGAGGTGGGGAAAGAAGGTTAAGGTTCGAGTTAGAACCTAGGGCGACACAACAAAAAAAAACGGGCTGACATTGCAATAAAGATTTCGGCTCGTTGTGGGCCGCTTTTTGCCTCCCCCAAGATGTCATTGTAGAGATATCGATCGGGGCTCCTGAATGGCCCTTCGCGACAAGGTGATACTGGGCACGGTTGTTGGTAGTCCACTTTGCAAGAGTGGAAGTCAAAAAGCCCAAAATGTCGAGCAGCCAGTTGCCCACCTGTCCCAGCCAAAACCTCGGACACCTCTGTCCTGCAATGTCCTGTGTCCAGCCTAGCATGTCCACCATGTCCTATGTCCGATCTCCCATGTCCTGTGTCCAGCCTATGTCCAGCACCATGTCCCGTGTCCGGCCAAAACCTCGGACACTTCTGTCCCACCATGTCCGACCTACCATGTCCTGTGTCCAGCCTATGTCCAGCACCATGTCCCGTGTCCGGCCAAAACCTCGGACACTTCTGTCCCACCATGTCCGACCTACCATGTCCTGTGTCCAGCCTATGTCCAGCACCATGTCCCGTGTCCGGCCAAAACCTCGGACACTTCTGTCCCACCATGTCCTATGTCCGACCTATCATGCACCATGTCCCGTGTCCAGCCTATGTCCAGCACCATGTCCCGTGTCCGGCCAAAACCTCGGACACTTCTGTCCCACCATGTCCGACCTACCATGTCCCGTGTCCAGCCTATGTCCAGCACCATGTCCCGTGTCCGGCCAAAACCTCGGACACTTCTGTCCCACCATGTCCGACCTACCATGTCCCGTGTCCGGCCAAAACCTCGGACACCTCTGTCTCCAGCCCCTACCATGTCCCGTGTCCGGCCAAAATCTCGGACACCTCTGTCCCACCATGTCCTATGTCCTACCATGCACCATGCCCTGTGTCCAGCCAAAACCTCGGACACCTCTGTCCCACAATGTCCTATGTCCAGCCTACCATGTCCCGTGTCCGGCCAAAACCTCAGACACCTCTGTCCCACCATGTCCTATGTCCGACCTATCATGCACCATGTCCCGTGTCCAGCCAAAACCTCGGACACCTCTGTCCCACAATGTCCTATGTCCAGCCTACCATGGCCATGCATGTGCAACGTATCTCGCCAATACAGGCTCGACTCTCTCATAGTGCACATGAGTGTATTTTTAGGAATCGGTATAAAAGCATTTTTCGCAAAATATTATGTGCTCGGAGTTGCACAAACTTGAAATGTGAGTTCAAGGTTGTGGTTAGCCGAGTATTTGCCGGGCAGCCGACCAGCCGACCTGCCTTTGCTTTCATCTAGGAAGTGCAATGTGAGCGGAATTGGAATCTGTGTTTGGTTGTTTCTGAAGGGCTGCAGCTGAGTGAGCCATGCTGTAATCGCCTAATAGAGTTTTTTTGAATCCCACCAAACAATACTCTGCCTTCCATGAGAATGCAACTATTTGTCTCTCAAAGAATACATGTGCTATCAGCCGAAGGTAAAAAATCAATGCATCGTGATCCGGACATCGGCACAATTTGATGGATTGTCTGTTCTACTTGGTTGTAGCAAACACAACCTTTGAGCTCAGGACAGCAACCATCACTGCGTTCCGGGGTCACCTGCGCATAGCTACGCACAGCTACGCACATAACTACACATAGCTGCACATAATATGCGCAGCTATTCGTGGAGCTGTGTAGATCACTACACAGACCTACACAGCCCTGTGTAGCTAAGCGCAGACGGCTAAACAGAGCTAGGCAGAGCTAAACAGAGGCTGTGTAGCTAAGCGCAGACGGCTAAACAGCTCCACGAATAGCTGCGCATTGTTATGTTTAGGCGACCCCGGAACGCAGTGCGTGTTGGCCATTGAGATACCATATTATTACCTGTAGACCTCAGGCCATAGGCACAAGATACAGCTAAAACCACGTTCTTAAACCACGAAGTACCTCTAAAACCACGCTTCTCGAACCCCGAAGTCCATCAAAATCACAAGTTTCTCACCACAACCACCACCTTCGGGATCTTGTTTTCAAAGCAAATAATATTTTGCTGTAAAAAAGTTCATAAATCAGGGCCTGCTCTGATCTGCTGTGGCAATCGAGTATACTGTAGTGTTTCGACCAAGTGTTCACGTCACAGGTCACGAAGGTTTGTAAATTGAGCACTTTTGTACATTGTAAGACATCACAGCCCTCGAAATCACTGAATTCTGGCGAGATTGATGCCAAAAATTTAATTTTCGCAGCCCAGATTACCATTTAAGGAAACTTTCCATGCTGTGAACACCTGGCTTTCTGACTACTTGAGGTCACATGTGACAACCTGTGAGCAGTTCAAAACACTACAGTATACGAGACGAGAGTTATGGGAGTGGGACTCGGCTAACTAAGTGAGTCCCATTAACGGTACACAAGTCCCATAAACAGAGGGATCAAAAGTGGGACTTGCTTACCGGCTCACTTAGAATGATGCGCAATTCCGTTGCGGCGATCAATACGGCTAATTCGGGACAGTTCAGGACACGATGCACAACAAACCAACAGAATCTCCCAAATAAACCACATCTGAAGTTGAGTAACTGATATTACTCGCATACAGTCGTTAACCGGGAAGCGCAACATTGCCAAACAAACAGCTTACAAGCACGGCTGGACTGTCCTCGGACCGAATACCCCTGTTTTCGAGGCCGCTGAGCACGATAGGACACATCCCTAGGGTCAAAACATTTACGACGACCCAGAAATACGAGTTTTCTTGAGCAAATACGAGGAAAATGGTCAAATTTCAAGGTTTTTCAAGTCCTTTGACACCATCTGGTGGTGCCGCTGGGCTGAGAACTCCCGAGGACGTAGTAGGGCATCGCACCGCATGGCATAAAAAATATCTAGCCAAGCAACCCAAGTATAGCTCCATAACGAGCCATGTAGAATTGACCATCTGACAAGCACGAATTGCGGTGATGGCGCCCGAGTGCTAGAAGCCAGAAATATAAGGTAGCGGACAGGCATTTACGGTTACCCCACGTGCCGTGACCGTAATACTCCTTTTTGGGACGTGCGGTGTTCAACTGCGTTTCTTCACAACTTTTCATAGCTTTTCCACAAATCGGCCTCAGTAGAGTTGTGTGTATGTATCTTAGGCATACCTGTGAATTTTCTTGGGAGTTTTGGTGCAAAACTGAAGGACTAGTTTCAAATCTTTCGATAAAATTGTCCAAACCAGTGTTTCATTTGTCCCTCGCACAACTAAATACCCTTAGCTCCCTGGGAGGCTTGGGGATGATAGCAATAGTGTTTTCCATGCATCCTTGGCACCTAGGTACCCCCGTGGGCTGCCCAATACATTGTGCTATGCTAAGCACCAAAAACAAACCAGTGTTAATTCAAGCTGAACCTCCTAAAATGGAGCCAGTTTAACTCCAGAGCATGTATTTGGAATAAACCGAGCTATATCTAACAACTCTGCACTAATGAACTCATGTCTAGAGCAGAATTTTGACAGAAAGTACCATCTTGTAGAAGAAAGTGAAACTAGTCCTTCAGTTTTGCACCAAAACTCCCAAGAAAATTCACAGTTATGCCTAAGATACATACACACAACTCTACTGAGGCTGATTTGTGGAAAAGGTACGAAAAGTTGTGAAGAAACGCAGTTGAACACCGCACGTCCCAAAAAGGAGCGTTACGGTCACGGCACGAGGGTAACCGTAAATGCCTGTCCGCTACCTTATAACTCTGAGTGCGTAAAGATGTTTTTAGAGTTGGTGATAATGCTCATGAATTTTCTTGGCCAAAAATATGTACTGCATTGGCCTCAGCTATCAATCATAACTTGTTGCGCTTCCACGTCATTTGGCCAAATTTGGCCTCCCGGAAAGATCGACGCCGTATGGGCTTGTCAAGTGCTCAAACCCCGAGAAGTAAATTGGAGGTTGGAATTCATAACCTTATGAGTCACTTAGCCCTTTGGCGCGCGTAATCAGGCCCAGAAATGGACGAGATATAGGCAGCGCAAACTAGATGTTGCCCTTCCCGGTTAGCGACTGTATGCCCATGTTTGCCTTTTTTTTTAAGCCACGGAGGGAGCGTATCATAAAGTGATAGCTCACAGCGACAACTTTAGTAGCAATCAGCAGTAGGTGTTCAAACTAACACGCCCGAACACCCATTGATGGCAATGAATAGGGGGAGTCAGCGCGAGCAATTGTTTGTGATTCTCTGCCGATTTTCGAATGATTTTACTTTCGATTCTTGGGCGATTCTGATCAAGACACACCCAATAAGGCAAAATCTCCCCATATGGGAAAAGTGTATCCAAATGTATATAATTCAGAACAACAAAAAAATAAATGAATTTGAAGTCTTTTGGCTGTGGTGGAACGAGGCAACTGAGGTACTGTAAATCCAAGGCACTTTTCAATGGTTGTGAGTTTGTTGTAAATCTGCACGAGCTGAAATGTGTGTGAAATAATCACTTTCAGTTGTGCTTTCGCCTGCATTGTCTTTCTTTTCTTTCAGCGGAAGTCAGCTGAAAGAAAGGAAACAAACAACAGACCGGCGGCTGGGTAAAGCCGAACTGTGGGAAAATAACAAACAACAACACTTTCATACTGATTCTTTCCCGACCGTTGTGCGCGACCGTATTCCTCATCCGTCCACGGACCCCTTCAACACTGCCCTTCTTGCCTTGCGGTGTGGATCTCCATGCTGTTCCATGCGCTGAAGGAGATCCCTTACTGACATATTGTTACGTTGCTGCCCGTGGCACCCAAATTCTGTACTCCATAGCTTATGCCTCCTTCCGTAGCTTCAATATTTGCGACCTTTGGCCGTGGCAGCGGTTTCCGTTCCCCGTCTTCATTGCCAGAGCTTTCCTCCACGGCTTCCTGCGGGGTCTTCTGTATCCGTTGTGTCAATTGTTAGTTTCCGTGAGGACCACGGGATTTGGGGTATTTGCAGTGGTAGACCTGGTGGCATAACTGGTAATGTGCACACTTACGGTAAGACGATGACACATAATTTTTTAATGCGAAACCCTCGTTCAATTCGAGGTCAGGCCGTGTGGTCATTGAGCTTCCTTTTTCCATGCCTATTCCGTAGCGCGTATTGGCCTTTTTTCAGCCACGGAGGGAGCGTATCACAAAGTGATAGCTCACAGCGTGAGTAACTAAAAGGTGCTAGAAAGAAAGGGAGTTTAGGGTGGGTACCAATTCTCAAACCAATTCTCTACCAATTCTGACCACTTCTGGATTTTGATCAATTCTGGACCGATTCCAGAATCAGTGCCAGAATCGGTCGTGTTGACCGCTTTGACTTCCCCTATTGGCAAGATAACGGGCGGCACATTTTTGCCCCAAACTCCGGTGAGTTGTGGTCCAAATATGAAACTGTGCACTTATCTTTCTTTTGGTGGTCCTGAGTGGTTTGAAAGAGGGAGGTAGAATTTTGCACTTTTTCCCTCTCCCCACTTTGCGATGATTGCAATATCCCTCTACTTGTTGACACAAAAATTTTATCTCTCCCTCTTTTTACATAGGCTGATCAAAAAATCCAGCTTCAAGGATCCGTATCCCAACCTGAGTTGGCACTGGTCAATGATGATGTGGAACAGACTGCCAGGAGGGTTGATCCCATGGATTTCCGCCACTATCACTCTTTCTCCTCACTTCCACCGACAAGAGGTGGGCGGATAGAAAAATGATGATATCATGCTCAGAAACCTGAGTGATCTCAAATGAGGGGGGTTATCCACGCGAGCAGTTGATCCCGCTGATGGCCCGCGGACCGATTTCCGAGCGTAGGTTTAGCAGTTCATGTATATGTTGGTGTTGTACCTCTATGCTCGCCGAATCTCTTGTCAACTCCTTACCTCTCTTGCTCACATCTTCGGCTTCACATTTGGCAAATAATGCAAGAAAAATGAGTCTACTGTACTATTTCGACCAAATTGTCAGCACAGAGCCTTAACTAGCAGGGTTACTGTGACGTAGGCGACTGGCAATACGGAAAGAGATAGGTTTGAGATAATCCGATTAAGGTCTGGAGAATAGACTAGAATAGTGTAAAGAATACAGAGCTGTAAGTAGGGGTTTTATAGTAAAACAAGTTGAGGGCGCGCAGTAGTTTGCGTGCTCGCAAAGACAACAGCGGATTCTGAGTTCGCCTTTTTTGGCCCTCGCTAACGCTCGGGCATCTCATGGGAAATCGTCACCTGACGCTCACATAACTTCTACATGACTTATCAAAAAAGCTGTGCTCTTCGTGTTTTAAGATATAGGATACCTAGTAACTGGTAACAAAGTAATTAGAATATGTGAAATATGTCAAAGGTGTTGCCAGCGAGGATCGACGTCGCAGCGTGCAACAAGGCAGAGAGGGGTGATCGTTGGAAAAGCAATCGGAGGGAAGTTGATATAAAAGGATCAATGCGGCGCCTGATGGGATTCTTGATCTGTGGTCGACATTGATCTTGGCATTCGGGTTATTCCGATCGAAGTTGAATAACCCGGGGTGTGGTTGAATAACCAGGGGTGGCTGTTAGGCGAATAATCCCGGAAAAAGTGGGAATCATGACACAAATGTTCGAGTGACGGGTGACACCGGTTCAATTTTTGGCCTCAAATAGGGGTAGAAGCTGTCAAGAAACCTCGGCCGGCACTTGCCGGCCGTCCATTTATGGTGATTTTGGGTGATTGCTGAGGAATGAACACCAAGCCGAATGAACACCTGTGGTGACAGGTGACATGGCGTGAACATTTGGTCGAAATCGTACAGTAGTAAACCACTAGAACAAAGGCAGCGGTGGTGCATTCAACCCAAGATTAAAGACAACGCCCGTAGTTCGGCGAGTTGAGGAAAGTTGCACTTCGTAAATGATGTTGACCCCGGGCCAGGTCCCGAACTCCGGATGCGATCAATATGCCTGCGACACCCAAACTCACCAATGACGACAGCCTTCTTGACAACCACATCCTGCGGGCTGTGATAAGGACCGCAGTGCCACTAGGCGAATATGTGGGATCACGAAGTGGCCGGTTCGTCCTCTAGGGCACTTTAAAGTTGGTTCCTAATAAAACGTGAGGCTGTAGGTGGTCTGCCTTGTTGGATCCGAGTGTGTGTGTTGGTCGAAGGTCGAAGGCGTGTGTGTGTGTGCGAGACCCGAGTGCTCGGGACGGGCTGAAGGCGGTTTACGAGCGCTCAGAAGGGATGTTGGTGGTGTCCGGTAACCTGTAGTCAGTATTCTCGGGTGTATAAATGAAAGGCAAATCCTTGAGACGATGTCCCTTGGCGGTGGTGACGAGCAAGCGCGTTGGTGGTCAACTCGAGGATGTAATTGGGGGATAAAGGTACAAGGTCAGGGAAAGAACTCAGCGTTGGACTAGAGTCCTCGACTGGAACTGTCTCCTTGTGGTAGCTGACTGGGAACTGAATCCGAAAGTCCACAAGTAATTGACTGACTACCCTCGATTCGTCCGACGCCTTTTATACCTTTTCCAAGCCAGTCACGTTGTCCGTCCCGTCGGCGTCCACAGCCTCGTTCCACATGCTCCTCGAGCCTCTTTCGACCTTCCGTGGCATTTCTGAGCTCCCAGACGGCCGATATTCGCGGACGTTGAGCTTCACGAGCACTCAGAGGCGTCGAAATTCCGAAATAGCACCGTTTCCGAGTGTTCGTAAGGGATTCGCGATGTTCTGAGTCGTCAGGAATGTGTGGAATAGGTTATAATGGTGGATAGGACGTGGGGGAATGGTCGTTTGGTCGCAGACATGGCTATCCTGCCGTCGAGGGTCGCTCAAGAGTCGTTTGTAACGTTGTATGGGGGCTCGGAAATGGCGCAAGTTCGTGAGTCGCAACGGTGCGCGTGGTCAGGTCTCCCCGCGAAGCCCGAGTGTGCCTGGCGTGCCTGGTTGCCATCCTGGCCGGGTTCGGTGCTCGTACGAGTGTCGTAAACACTGGGATCGTCGAGTAACGAGTTGTTGGAAGTAGATCCGAATGAGGCAAGGTCGTTTCCTAATTGGGCAAATCTTGAGTGAGTGGGAATTCCGAGCCGTCGCGTCTCGTCCAGACAAGCCATGAGGCGGTGTGAGCAGTGCAGCGCGAACACAAGCCTCACAGCGCTGTGAGTGATTTTCTCCTCCTTCTTCCGGTGTCTTACGTATTCTTTCGGTGGCGAAACATGTCTACCAGGGCTTGAGCGCTGCTCTAGAAAAAGCCCGGGTTTAGCAGGGGGAAGGCAGGTAATGCTGCCCTCAACGGTGTCACCGCCCTGACCGAGCGCAACATCTGAGTCGCTTACATCCCTGTCAAGTATGTGGGATAATTCTAATGGGAAACCCGGTTTCCCGAGAAACTAAAGTAAGAACAGATGTAAGTAAAGCTACGGTAGAAGTAAGTAAGGTTGTAAGTAGATAGACAATATAATGTAACTCACCTCAGTCGGGACACAATGAGTGTAAACGACTGAGGTGCATGGATAGGGGTTGTAACTAATATATCAGAAAGAAACGGAACAAACGGGTAGTAAACGGGGTATACCGGAGCCGCCGTCGGGTCTCCTACAACAGAAACCCCCCTCAAGAATTTGGGTGTTATCAGGAAACCCGGTTTCTCGAGAAACCCCTCCGGCATTTCGGTGGTACATGGGCTTGCTGCCGGCACATTTTGAACACTTATTTTCAGTCTTAAATGAACAATATACATCATTCGGGAAGGATTCGAACGTTCAAGTAATATTCAAGTAAGTAAACAT